AGAGGCGGGATAGAGGGGATAATATCTATTTGTAGGCAGGGTGAGCTTTGTGATAGAGGTTCGTCTTTCTTCGTGGTATGGGACTGATTCTGAGATTCTTGGCCTAAGAAGTTTCAGCGTTCAACGTTCAACGCGTATCACAAGCATTCCAAAGGATATAGGCTTCACTGTCTTGAACTTTGGCTCTCGGTTACATGCGGCAAGGAAACCTCGGCTCCAATCCTCACTCAATAATCAGAAGAAAACCTTCGATATTATCTCTCCTTGAAACAGACGCCAATACTATTTCGAAGCTCTGTCGGTGGATATTTCATATCTTGCCTCCCAGTTACTGACGTAAAGGCTCCTGGAAAGTCTGTGGTTGCGTCAAATCATCGTTTCAGGTACGCCTGTGCGATGCACACAAGAGGTGCTTTGGAAGCTCATCGATTTCTACAAGAATCTACTTTATACGCGAAATCACTGCAGAACTCCATCCAACCCTGTCAAATTAATTTCAAATCGCAACCATGGGAGGCGCTATTGTGACCTTAGATGCTCAGCTTGTCAATCTAGATGTTCTTCCTTCGAAATTCAAAGCTCTTACCGAGATTGTTGAAGATTGGCGACTATGCAGGGGTACGTTGGGTTGAACTTGCATTCATTATTTGACTCAATTACTAATGGTTTCACAAGTTTCTTTGGCTTCATTGCACTTTATGTGCAGTTCAGTAATATCAATCTTCAACAACCAATCGTCGACGATGACGTTCATGACATGTACGTGGGTTTGGTCGTTCACAGTATTGATTATATTGACGACTCGGATCTAAGAATTGGCTATGCAATCGTCGAGTACTCTCTGGCGTACCGCAACTATATTGAATCTAGCTTTATGCACCGCATTTCTATATGATATAAAAATGCCCGCCAACTCTAAAATTCCTTCCTCAAACTCATTGCTTGGCCTCATGGCGGCGCCTATCTATCGATCCCTCAAGAATCTGGTGACAAGAAAATGTGGTGGCGCTCATCTATACAGCTACCGTATCGGCGCATGCCGTAGGTATCTGTTGATGGGGACAAGACAAGAATTTCTCTATCCAAGGATATTAAACGTGAACGCGGAGGGTTCAGATGACTTCTTGGAAGCCGAGGACGTGGATCTGCGCGATGATTCGAGGACTATGAAGGTATTTCAGTGTTCTGTTCAGTTTTATTGCAATTCGTCTGGTAACCCTCATTTTTTTTCAGACTCGATATATGGTAAGGGAGTCTAAAAAGAAAGTGGGCGGGAGAGAAGATGCTGAAGACAATGAAGTGAGTATTTGAAGATGAAAGGTCGAAGTCTACGAGAGGAACAATGTGATGGAGAAGGAGAGGCGGGATAGAGGTGATAATATCTATTTGTAGGAAGGGTGAGCTTTGAGATAGAGGTCCGCCTTTCTGTGTGGTATGCGGCTGATTCTGAGATTCTTGGCCTTTGAAGTTTCAAAATCCAACGTTCAAGGCGTATGCTATTGATTATATTGACGACTCGGATCTAAGAATTAGCCGCGAAATTGTCGAATGCTTGCCACAACTGTGTGGGATCCAGCTCTACATTGCTAATAGGGTACAAAAAAGTCCGCCAACTCCAAAATTCCTTCCTTAAGCCCATTGCTTGGCCTCATGGCGGCGACTATCTATCAGTGCCAAGCGTCTGGTCTCTGTGCGACAATGTGCGACAAGGAAATGTGGTGGCGCTCGTCGATGAGACACAAATTCCGTTGTCCCCGGCTTTGGTGTGGACGCAGAAATCCGCATGGCTTCCTGGAATGCGAGGACGTGGATCTGCGCGATGACTCAAGGGCTATGAAGGTATTTCAATATTCTGTTGCTCAATTTTATCGCAATTCATTTGATAGCCTTCATTTTTTAAACTCAAACCTTACCCTCATAAGAACGTTGGGCGGCGACCTCATTAACGGGTCTATCTAGTTCGAAGACGAAATGTGAATATGAAATATACTAAGCTCGATGCCTGTGCTGCTAGGGGAGATATAAGAAATAGACTGCAGTGTGAGGTGAGAAATAATGTGCCGAGCGCTCGTTATGGATGTTTTCGACAACGACCACAGGTTAATTATTTACAAGTCCAGTCCGTGCTGCCTTTGGACTCTACCTTGATCATCTATCTACCATCTCGATATCGTCACTTTGTGGAACACCAATATCATCGTCTCTATTCACAATACCAACATCTTCCGTTTCCGTTTCCGACATTGAATTTGGATTGTTGGCCGCAAAGTGCAAACTCCCAATGGTAGATTCTATGGATTCCTTATCGTGGAAGGACAATCCCATGGAGACCCGCACCAGGATGATTGTAGGTGTTATACCCTAGACAGGCTCATGTTATCAGTAAAATAAGAAATACTAGTAGTAGTGACTAATGTTGTAATCACATTGAACATTGGGTGGATAGAAGCGATGATACCAAAAGCTTTATTGCCAGCGTCCGTCCTTAGAAAAATGGTAACCACGATCCGAGCCAATTGGATTGAAAACAATGCCATGCCAGATTCAATTACTATGAATATGACGGTCCGAAGTTTGCTCCCGCCAGTGGTGCCCAAACTTTGGTCCGAGGCAGACTTCACTTTACGGTACATCTTGAAGATCTTGAATACAATTTTGCATGTCACCAGAGCATTCACGGTCATGGATATGGCGACATCTGCCACGGCCGTCCAATAACTCCAATCAGGTTCTACAATCCGGCCCGAGAGAATGTGCGCTGAGCTGGTAGCTACTAGCCAGATAACTAGAGGCAATACATTAGAATTGGCCAGTAAAATAAGGTAGGTTGACTGACCTAGGAATACAAATGCTAAGATTGAAGGAAAGATCACGACACGGATATTGCAACCCCACACAATCCAGCAACGGTAGATCTTTAAGATTTGCATGAACAAAATAAATGATAGGCATAGTAGTGTATACATACTAGGATGGATTGAGCTATGAAATCGCTGCAAGCAAATATTGTGGCTTGAATAAATAAAAAGTTGATGTATGGCGGTAAACTGGAGTGAAACGTCTGCACAACTGAAAGTGTAAGAAAGATTGGTTATCGTTACTGATGGAATTGTTACTGACTCCAAATATGAAATTCGTTATATCAACCACAACGGTAACAACAGATAGAACGTATAGAGCACATAGAGCATAGAAAACAATATTTCTCCTCTTGTCGGTGCCTTTGTTCGATGTTCCTTGCAAATACATGGCAAATATGCCAGAATAGAGTCCTGTGATAGCAGGTTAATATTATACTTCTTTAGCAAGGGCCGTGCAAGTTGTAGAAAAAATATCTTACCGTAGAGAAAGGTTTCGAAACATACTCCAATGTAAGTAAAATCTGCAGGAGCTAGCTTCATGGTGTCTGTTGTAATGACCTAGTGCATCTCGCTCGCTTTATATCATAAGAGTCTAGCATCCTATATCAAGATTCAAATACAGTCACCGAGATAAATTTTGAAGTTTGTGATGATCTTGACAAACTGTTGCTGTTATAATCATAATAAGATTTTCGATCAGGTAGGAATGTACCTAGTTTGAGGCTATGCAACCTGTTACCTTAACCGTTTTTTTCAAGGTAAGCCTGGCCTCACTACTAGTAGTTTCCATCATTGAAATCTGTCACCAAAAAGATGATCACAGTGATTATCATATTATGATCGATTTAACTTATCTCTATTCAATAGATTCTAACACTGACAAACTTATGGTAGGTTTGAAATGTCGCTTGTAACACGCCGATCAACCCTACCAATGGTACCATCTCCACTTCATCAATATTCGGCGGAAGATGAACAATCCTGAACAGATTTTGGAGACAACGAGATAAGGTTGTTATCGATTGTTTCTTTGAGTTGGACTGATCTTTCCCAAGTTTCCCTACGCTCTAACATATTTTGAAGGCCTTTTACGACTTGGTATATGGTAAAGGAGTTTAAAAAGGTGGGTGGGAGAGAAAATACTGAAGACAATGAAGTGAGTATTTGAAGACTGATTATGAAATATACTAATGTCGTATGGCTGTACTGCTAGGTGTAAAAAGGTCCCATCACAAAAGCGGTGGGTCTACGATTAAACGCAGTAAGTTACTGTATGCGTGTTGATGTGAATTTGCCAGACCTGACTGTTGTGTTCAATCTTTCCGTGTCTATGTAGTGCACCATCGTCTTGTAGGTGTGAGCGGAAGGGTAAATAAGAATGGTCTGAGTGTCATTCAACAGTGAGATTCCGAGTTGTCAGTATCGAGAACTTCTGTCTTTACAACCTGAGCTTCCCAAAATCGAACGGGTTCGTATCGCTTCTGAATAGTCCTCGGATCTCGGAATTTGTACTAATCTTATTTCAAACCCAGCTGAAGTTGGCCGCCCGTTGAACTTGGGACATGCAGTTGTGGGCGGATGGGCCGTGATGAACGCAATGGCCCACTCAAACAAGTGAATAGACAGCGGTGCACATCGATTTCATGTTCATGTTTGATCAGACATACCGTGGACTCCTAAATGCGTCCCTCATGTCAATAGCATTGTACGTGGAACGATCAAAGAAATTTGATCGCGGTCTATGAACAGCGCTGGCCACTCGTTCATGTTCCAAGACCCCTTTTGTCCGTACAATGCAATCTCTTTTTCCTTTCTTAATCGGTGGCCACTTAATGGCCCTGTTTCAAGTTTCATTGTCCAAACTCCTTTAAATACAGCTTTAACTTCTTATTATTTCTTCGTGCTCTCTTTCCATATCTCACAAATAGCTCGCTAGGCTCTGCCTCGAGTTCTTGTCAATAGCATTGTACGCTCGGAATCTTTGTCAACATTCCTGTTTGGTTCATCATGCATATGTTGATTCTCTCATTTCATTCCTTCATCGTAGCTAGTGCTACTAGAGTCGACAAGTTACATCGTCTTCAGCACCTTCTTTCCATTGGCATCTTTGGTATGTGCTCGCGTCGCCTGTGCAAATTTGATCGTTACCCGCGGCATTTAGTACATACTGGTTCAAATATTATCACACTGGGAACGACTGCTGGGCACCACTACATGACTCCCTTCGAAGCCACCTTACAAAATGTCCCAACACCCAACATCCATCCACCACGCCGCGTGAAGCGCTTCAAAGCTTCCTCCCACGGCTTCTACGCATCACAACGATAGACAGCCGCATCTTCTTAGGTACTTTCGCAGGCACAGATAAACCTCTCAACATAATCCTCATAGACGCTGAAGAATACCGTATCTCTCAAGGCCCAGGGAAAAGGGTGAAGCTCAGCGAGAGTGGGAGATATATCGGACAAGTGTTGTTGCCATGGAAGACGATCGTAAGGGTCGAAGTCTACGAGAGAAACAATGTGATGGAGAAGGAGAGGCGGGATAAAGGTGATAATATCTATTTGTAGGAAAGGTGAGCTTTGAGATAGACATCGCCTTTCTTCGTGGTATGCGGCCGATTCTGACATTCTTGGCCTTTGAAGTTTCAAACATTCAACGCGTATGACAAGCATTCCAAAAGATTTGCTAAATATACGCTTCACTGTCTTGAAATTTGACTCTCGGTAACATGCGACGAGGAAACCTTGGCTCCAGTCCTCATTCAATAATCAAGAACAAAGCCTTAAGCTTCGACATTATCTCTCCTTGAGGCAGACGCCGATACTATTTCGAACCTCTGTCCGATATTTCATATCTGGCTTCCCAGTTACTTGACGTGGAGGCTCCAGGTCCGTGGTAGTACCTCAAATCATCATTTCGCGCACGTCTACGCGATTGCATACAAAAGGTGCTTTGGAAGCTGGTCGAATTCTACAAGACTCTACTTTATACGTCAAATCACTGCAGAACTCCATCCAACCCCCTCAATTTAATTTTCCAGTCGCAACCATAGACGGTGCTATTGTGACCTTGAGATGCTCAGCTTGTCAATCTAGATGTTCTTCCTACCGAAATTCAAAGCTCTTACCGAAATTGTTGAAGATTGGCGGCTAAGCCAGGGTAGGTAGGTTGAGTTGAACTTGCATTCATTATTTAAATTCAATTACTAATGGTTTTACAAGTCGCTCTTGGCTTCATGGCACCTCAGATGCCTGCATTCGAGTCGATCTTCAACGACCAATCATTGACAATGACATTCATGACATGCTATAGACGAGGTGAGGTTGTTATCTATCATTTCTTTGAGTTGAACCGATCTTTGCCAACTCTCTAACATCCTTTGGAGACCTTTTAAGACTGGGTAAATTGTAAAAAGAATAAAAGGCATGGAAGATGCAGTGAGTATTTGAAGACGAAATGTGACTATGAAATATACTAAGCTCGATGGCTGTCCTGCTAGGTGCAAAAACGTGAACACGCCATCACATAAGCGGTGGGTCAAGTAGCTAGGTGAGAAGGTTATAAGAAGAGGTAGTTGATGGATAATCAAGAGGGGAGAAATAAGGAATAGACTGCAGTGTAAGGTGAAATAAGGTAAGGAGCACTCGTTATGGATGTTTTCGACCACGATGGCAGTTTATTCATATGTGCCATATCTACAAGTCTGGTGCATGCTGCGTCTGGAATCCATGTGGTCATCTATCTACCATCTCGATATCATCACTTTGTTGAACACCAATATCATCATCTCTATTCACAATATCATCATCTCTATTCACAATATCATCATCTCTATTCACAATACCAGCATCTTCCGTTTCCGATATTGAATTTGGATTGTTGGCCACAAAGTGCAAACTCCCAATGGAAGATTCTATCATGGATTCCTGATCATGGAAGGACAATCCCATGGACACCCGCACCAGGATGATTGTAGGTGTTATGCCCTAGACAGACCTATGTTATCAGTAAAATAAGTAGCAGTGACTGATGTTGTAATCACATTGAGCACTTCGTGGGTGGCAACGATAATACAAAAGGCTTTATTGGCAGCGTCCGTCGATAGAAAAAAGGTAAATACAAGCCGAGCCAATTGGATTGAAAACAATACCATGCCAGATTCGGTTACTATGAACATGACAGTCCGAATTTTGCTCCCGCCAGTGGCGCCCAAACTTTGTCCCGAGGCAGACTTGATTTCATGGTAAACCTTGAAGATCTTGAACACAATTAAGCACGTCACCAGAGCATTCACGGTCATGGATATGACGACAGCTGCCACGAGCATGCAATGCCCCCAGTAAGGTTGTAGATTTTGATTTGAGAAAAAGTACTCTGAGCTATTACTTGCTATCCAGTTAACTAGAGACAACGAATTGAAATTGGCCAGTCAAATAAGATAGGTTGGACTGACCCAAGAATAGAAATGCTAAGATTGAAGGAAGGATCACGATACGGATATTGCAGCCCCACACAATCCAGCAACGGTAGATCTTTGAGATACGCATGAATAAAATAACTGATAGGCATAGTAGTTTATACATACTAGGATAGATTGAGCCACGAAATCGCAGCAACCAAATGCTGTGCCCTGAACAATAGCAATGTGGACATTTGTCAGAACCCCTTGAAACTGCACAACTGAAAGTGTAAAAAAAGATGATTATCATTACTGATGGAATTGTTACTAACTTCATATGTGATACGTGCTATATCAAGCCCAACAAAGACAATAGATAGAACATATAAAGCACACAGGGCGTAGAAAAGGATATTTTTCATCTTGTCGCTGCCTTGCTTTGATGTTCCTTGTAAATAGATGGCGAATATGCCAGAATAAACTCCTGGGATGGCAGGTTAATATTATACTTCTTTAGCAGGGGCCGTGCAAGTTGGAGAAAAAGTATCTTACCGTAGAGGAAGCATTCAAGACATAGTGCAATGAAGAAATAGTCTCCAATAATTAGCTTCATACTTAGCGTTTGTTGTAATGACCTACTGCGTCTCTGATGCTTGCTTTATATAAGAGTCTAGCATCTATATCAAATACAGTAAGTGAGATAACGCTGGAAGTTCGTTATGATCTTAACAATCTGTTGTTGTTATAATCATAATCAGATTTTCGATCAGGGTATGAATGTGTTACAACTAACTAGTTTGAGGCTATGCACCCTGTTATCTTGGGTAGCCGTTTTTTAAGGTAAGCATGGCCTCAGTACTAGTAGCTTCCATCATTGATACCTGTCACCAAAAAGATGATCATAGTGATTATCAATTTATCATATTACCTCTATTCAATAGATTCTAACTCTGACACTGGCAAACCTATGGTAGGTTTGAAATGTCCCTCTTCTGATGATTAACACACTGATGAACCCTAGCAATGGTACCTTGATTGTTGCTTTGAGTTGGACTGATCTTTCCCTACGCTCTAACATGTTTTGAAGGCCTTTTAGGACTTGGTATATGGTAAAGGATAGGGCTGCGCACGGCACCGCTGCCGTTACCGTACCATGGTCATTTGTCGGTACGGTGACGGCACGGTAACGGACCGTTGACAGTGATGGCTTACGGTGGGAAATGGCCGTTGTCGGTGATACGGCTGAGTCTCAAACTTCATCAACAAAGCACCAAATGGCAGCAAACAGATCATTTCAACATCGATAATCGATTTCCTCGTGCTCTGCGCACGCAGCACCACCACACTCGGTTCTCAAGACGTTACATCTTCCGCCATCTTTCATTCCACCAAATCTCTCGAAATTAACTGTCGTGCTGGGTGTAAAGATGTGCCATCACACAGCGGGAGGTCTACGATTAACCGAAGTAAGTTACTGTATGCGTGTTAATGTGAATTTGACGTTTTGTGTTCACGTAGTGCACCGTCGTCTTGTAGGTGTGAGTTGAAGGGGGTGAGTAAGAATGGTCTGACTGTGATTCAACAGTGGCATTCCGCGTTCTCAGTACTGAGAACTTCTGTCTTTACAACCTGAGGCCTGAGCCTCCAATGAGCCTGGTTGACAATGACATCGGGCTTAGCCGGGCGGCTTCTCGGACATTGCACTAGTTTTATTTCACACTCAGCGACATTTCGACCTGCCCGTTGAACCAAAAGTCCAACTTGGGGTCTGTCCGCCATCTTTCATTCCACCAAACCCCCCGAAACTAACAGGTATCATCTACAGAGCGCTAGGAGTCAAGTTAGAAAGCCCCCGGTCGATATGGAGGAGCACGAACGACTCCCCATCCGCCCACAACTGCATGTCCCTGGATTAGCTTTAAAATAAAGGTCATGACGTTACAAGGGATATGCGGATAAGTTAATACTTGGTCTGACAGAACTCGGATCTGCCGTGCTGAACGCAATGGCCCACTCAAACCAGTGAATAGAGAGCGATGCGTACCGATTTCATGTTGATGTTCAGACATACTGTGGATTCATAATTGCACCCCTCATGTCAGGGGCTTATGGCATTGTACGCTAGGAATCTTGTTCAAAATACCTGTCTGGTTTATCATGCATATGTTGATTCTCTCATTTCTTTCTTTCATTGTAGCTATTACTACTAGTGTCTTAATAGATCAACAAGTTGCATCGTCTTCAGCTCCTCCTTTCCACTGGCATCTTTGGTATGTGCTCGCGTTCCTTGTCCAAATTTGATCTGTACTCGCGGCATTTTTAGTGTAGTACTGCTCCAAATAATATTATAATGGGAACGTCACATAATGACTGGTAGTGTCTTGCTTTGATGCACAGTCGATGTAGACAGAAACTCTCATCAAGGTACGCCTATTGACAATGGCATCAAGGACAGTCCTGCTCTCGGAGCCGGCCCCCAGCGGTGCGCTGTCTATTTCAAAAGCTTTAATTCCTCGTGTTTTAATTTATGTCTTTTCTTCGGAACAACAATTTCCACTTCATCGCAGCGGCACAGAACTTCTAGAAACTTTGTCCATTCGTGGTTCATATACGAAAGACATTTCCTCGTACTGGCCTCGAAGCTCTTGGAATCTCAATTGAGAGAAACTGAATTATGCGTCGGGGGATAAAATTTAGGCCGGAAACGATGCGTTCTGAGAACCTTGCTAAAAGGACTTGATATGGACGCGGGTTGTTGTTTGGCTGTTATCAGAGCAGCATTACAAATGGGTTTCAGTTTATTCAGAAGAGTTGGGTTCTCCATTCTTGCTACTCGGGAACTAGGTCCTCCATCCCCCCCTTTCACTAATTATTTAGACTGGGTCAATAATTCTAGGTTCCCGTTAAGCACCATGCTCTCGATATTTGATATTCATGCCACCTGACCCTCTGCTTCTTAGCCCACCCAACAAAAACAAAAACAATCAAAAAGCATTTTTTCGACAAATTGGACCCTATCCTCGGCCAGGCTCCCAGTATTCGCCAACTGATACCAATCTTGACAAACTTGTTGATAAGCCCAACGCTGAGTGGGGTCATTCCTCGAGGCGGTTAATATATTTTCCCTCTCCTTCATTGAAGGGTCTTATTACCGCTCATGTGTAATTGTTGGAGTCCGTTAATTCTATACAAATTAGAGAGAAGCGCTAGCTAAATGCATGTATACTATTTTCCTGAAACCGCAGTTTTCATTTTCAATTTGTAACCACTCCATGGTACTGGTGAAGACTTGCTTCATTTGAAACATCGGCCCTAGTTAATGTTGTGATTGTAGTGATCATTCCCTGTTGGTCAAATGCGGCTGCGCAGCCAGGGTTAATAGTCGCGAACTCATCCACGGTGCCGAGGAGAATTGTTCAAAAAAAAAAGAGCAATAGCTAGTACGCAATGGGGTGCTTGTAGTTCATAAAATATA